GTTCTGTAAAAAGAATATGAACACCAATTAAATGTTTTATGTTATAACATTTAATGAGAGAATCAAAGACTGCTTTGATTTTCAAATAAATGCGATAAATGACGAACTTGGCTAAATTTCAAAATTTTCAAGGTACTTTTTAGCAAAAATAATCGGAAAAGTTATATTTCTGTTGAGTTATATGTACTATAAACATAGTTAGACCAATTTGAAAACATATAAACTCAATTTACACCAAATGTGAACTGATGATACAGGCACTACAATTAGCGGGGAAAAAAAATACGCAAAAAATAATTTTTTTTTTTAAAAAAAAACTTTTTTTTAAAAAGATTAAAAAAAAAGTTTTTATTTGTTTTTGCTTTCGGTCGTATAATTCTTTACACTTAGATTAATATTAATACTTTTCTGTAGAAAAATAACACACCATTTTTTTTATAAATATACATAACAATAAAGGCAATTAAAAAAACTCGTTTTTGTGGATTGCCATAAATATATTTTTTTAAGTTAATATACTGGTATATGTTATATAAGTAGTAAATGATACTTGTATATGCAATTGGTATTAGTTTTATTTCCATTCCGTAACGAAAATACTTTTCATAATCTTGCTGATTTCTTAGTTAGGCTCTTTTATTCCGACGCTGTCCTCAAGGTCCGAAAATGTAAAAAAACGACTTTTTTATTTAAAAGAGAACCTGCCTACACCAAACCCTCAGTCGTTGTTTCCACACTCCGCTGCATGTTCTCTCTAAAAATCAGTCGGTGTATGTGCACACCGCAGCGCAAATCCCTATAACCCCATTTCGCCTATTTTCTAGAAATACAAGCTCGCGGACGCAAAGGACGCTCAACGTCGGAATAGGGGTTTGACAAGAGAGCCTACCTATTTCTTATGTTATTCTAAAATTCCGCGTAACTTTGTTTACTTTATACCTCCAAAATTTATCTCACCGAAACGGTTATTTCAATAAAATTCGTAAGTAAATAGCTTGGGAAGTAACGCAATAAATCATCGCTTAGAAATGTTAACATAAGTTTAAGCGTAAAATTAAAACAATTTGTTGTAAAACATGCCAAGTTTAAAAGCATATTCCCTAACATAGCAAGAGGTAGATAAAATAATTTTTATATTTTCATCTGCATAAAAGGTCGAAATTTTAATAACTCACGTCATCCATCAAAAAATTAATATTTTACATTTAAAAGAAATAAATTTAAAAATATAAATGCATTAAAAATTAAGTTATAGTAACAAAATCACACGGATGACGTAGGAATCTGATAGAATAGACATTCATTGATAAGTTTTTTTTAAATTTCAACCATCAACCATGTAGCTATGTTAAGGAATCTTGGTTGGCCCCAGACAGGTTTTTGGTAAAAATCGCCAAAAACAGAAAAGTCATCAAAAATCATTTAAAATATTTTAACAATGTTTATTTTTATTTCGCCTAAAGTAAATATTTGTTTAAGTTTTTGTAAATTTTTTTAATTCTAAAATTAAAACGTTTATAGAAAAAAAAAACCATTACTTTAAAGTTATTGAATTTTTATACTTTATATGCCGAAATTTTTTTATGCGGAAATTGTTTTTGCTAAACAAACCTAGCCCAATTTTACATTGCCCAATTTTACATTGCGTGAAACAGCCGTGAGTCGTGTTAGCATTTTACAACAAACATTACATTATTATTTTTAACTAAAGACTTACTTGCTTGAGATAATGGAAATCATATTTATCCTTTTTATTTTAAGATGTTGAAGATCGGTGTGTCTTTAAATGAATCTCTTGGTCATCACAATCAATATAATCTTTATTTATTATTTTTTGACCTACAGAACACAAGCATAGAGAATATTTGAATTTCATCTAAAAACTTGTTTTCTCATGTAGAAATTTTACAATTAAAAATCTTTTACAAATTACTTTACAGATTATTAATTTTATAAATAAAATAGGGTATATAATATTGTATAAAATATTATAGGTTTCATACTGCCAAATATTTGGTAATAACACCAGAATATTATTAAAGACTAAAAATCTTAAAATGACATTTTGAACTAAATCACTTACTTTCTTGAAACAAATCGTCATATTTTTTCCTTTCAGCCTTTTTAACTATAGTAATTCCTTAATAAAAACCACTGATATTATTATATTTTATTTTTAGAGTTAAAGAAGAAAAACTCTGAAAATGTTGTTCCCTTTTCTCAAATCCAAATGAACTTTTTTGCATTAAAAGCAGTTGATAATCAAGTAGAATTAAAAACTTAATCTAGTTAGCAATCAAGTTTACTCAACAATTAAGCTATTTAATCTAAATAACCACACCATAAAAACTTTATCATTTTAATCATATCTACTTGACTCAAGTAGAAATACAAACACAACCTAGTTTCAACGAAGACAAACTAAAAATACTCCAATATATTTTTAAATTTAATTCTCCAAGAAAACAATACAAACACTTGGTTGATTTAAAGATATGTTAATTTATATAATTTTTACTTAAATAAATCACTTCGCTTAATTGAAGGTCACGCCATTATTTGTCTAAACATACTCTTTTAAATATTGCCGTGTACATTCAAAAAACGTTCATTTATTATGTTAAAAAAACGTTTTAAAAAAGTTCATAAGCTAACTGAGAAATTTCGTAAGTTGTTAAAAAAAAAAACTTAAAAAACGCTAAAAAAACGTTTAAATTAACATTAAAAAAAACGTTTACAAAAAAACGTTTTAAAAACGATTGTATTGGTTCTTTAAACGTCTGACTGTAAATTGAACGGAATTAAAACGTTTATCCGTAGCAATACTAATTATTGCGAAATGCAATGGGTAAATAATCTTTTACCTTGATTAAAAAAACAGTTTATAGCAAATAAAACCAGGCGAGTTGGTTCATTTTAAATGCAGATATTTTTGTAAGTGCTAAGCCTTTAAAAGAGATGAATGCAACTATTAAAGTTTACATTGACGTATGTAACATTTATCAAAAATAACTGCTTATGTATAAACTTTATAACAACATGCTTCCAAATTACTTTCAGATGGTTGTTACAACATTATAGGAAAGGTAAATTGATAACCTTTTTTTTTTTTTTGCCGTTTAAGAGGGAGCAACCGATCAGTTTCAATCGAGTTGCTTGACCAATACACTGACATCTAATAGTACAGTCAGTATATTATGCGTATGTACTAGTACTCTTATTCTCATTGATGCTTCATTAGGGTCTATATTTGAAATATATTTATATGTTACACTGCAAATGTTTTGTCATTCACAGATACACGACAGCTGTCTATATTATAAAAACAGTTCAAAACTTACAATACAAAAGTGATACACACTTATACTTACAAAGAACTAAAGTTCACTTTATAATATGAAAAAAGAGCAGTTGATCGATTTACAATGAAACCTCTCTTTCCGCCAGGCTTCTTCAAACATAATATAGAAATTTTAATCAAAGGTTTTTTTTATTCAAATTTCAAGTTTAATTTGACAATAAAAGTGTAAAAATGGTGTCAAACATTGAACAAAAAAATATCCGATCACGCAAATGAAGAAAAAGAAGCATTACGAAAAGTAGTGAAGTGTACCACGTTGAAAGTAAGGAAAAAAGTATACGAGATAAATGTTTAGAAGTTCAAAAGAAAGTTATAACTTAAAATGAAATGTACCAGGACAGGGTTACCTTAAACCAAACCAAACCCTAACACTGACCAACGGATAATACTTTCAAGTCCTTAATACTAGGGAGGGGAGGTTAAAGAAAAAAAAAAGTGGGGGGGGGGGGTAATTTTAGTCCAGATTTAATCTTAGATATCGATTTTCATTGTTTTTTTTTTGTTGTTGTTGTTGATATCAAGTTAAATCAAAATAAATAAACCGGGGAGGGGGTCTTAATTAGCTTAGAGTGGGTGGGAAAGTTTTTCAAAAATTAATAAGCGTCTCTTCCCCCTTTTCCCCTCCCATCTTTTATTAGGAACTCGAGAGTATATCAGAATAATTGACGAAGTTCATACAACCACCAGTAGAATCACTCACAGCCTATATAAAAGACAGTAAACTTAACAATTTCCAAAAGATCTTTTTTATTTAGCAATGACACTAGTGCTAAGCAACTATCCCGTGCACATCGTAAATTATAATATTTGGAAAACATTTCCTAAGACACATCATGAACTCATTAACAATAGGCAAGTACAGAACAAAAAGACAATAGTCATATCATACACTCCAATTAACTACATCATCTAAATTACTGAAACATTAATAACCCAGATTTTTACCGACGGGACGTATTTCCACACAGGCTATTATCAATACATACAAACTTAAAATCAAGTAAAGACTTACTAATACACATTAGACACCAGCTAAAACAACTTTATTAGTAATATTCACTTTTATTTCTCACTTTTAACGAGTACATAAAAACATAAAATTACCTAAATGCGAATCTAAATATAAACATTTCAAGACTTTACAAACTAACGCAAGGTTATTATCGGCATTATTTAACTCACTCGCCTCTGTTTCTTTCATTAAGCATAAAAGCTATTTTTGGAACTACACGCAATCCTAGACAAACTTTAATACAAATCGGTGAGTTTAAAATTACTTAAATCTATTTGCATTTACATTGTTTCGATACAACGGATCAGATTTTTATCAATTTTTACATTCCTTTTATATCACTGTTTATTTATAATCTTGTAATTAACTTTTATCACAAAGACGAGTTGTTATATTAATCCTGCGACTTATTTTACGATCGACGATTTCTAAAGATAATATTTACTTTTGATATGATAATAAAATAACAAACCTACGCATTTTCGTACTTAGCTTTCTTTTATTCTATTCATAATTATAGTTATAGATTATGAATATATCGCACCCGTTTTAGAAAAGGATTGTATCTCCAAAAAATTCGTATTGTCTGATACGTCTCTTTTCTATAATGGTTTTTAACACGTTGGCATATACACCTTTTTTTAAGTTATCAATAACTCATTAAATATAATTAATCGAAGCATAATATTTTAAGATAACATGGACGGTATTTCATAGTTTTTACTGCCAAATTTCTCATTTTTGGCAATAATGGACATACGTCCCTTTTCTATAAAGGGTGCGATATCAACATTTACTTTTTTTTACTCTTAGAATAGTAAGCAAACATGTTTTTGTTTTAACTTTAAAGAAACTTTTTAGAACTTTAAAGGCACTTCGAACAAATGTAAAAATAGTAACGACGGCGGCTTCTTTCGCCGACAGCACGGTTGCTTATGTCACCTCCTATTGCGAAAGATTATCGATACCTATTTACATAGATACCCCAAAATAACTAAGATCAAAAATTAGTGCAAGCTAATTTTTGGCTTTACCTTATAACATAAAGCCAAAAATCAGCTACAAACAAAATAATTCTTGAATTGAATAAAGTTCAAGAATTATTTTATTTGTTGCGACCACATTATCTTGATCCTCTTAAAAATATTTTAGTGGTTTCAACGAGTCATTACGCGCTACATTTAAGATGTTAGTCTTTTTTGTAATTACTTTTTTCTTGTAATCAGCTCTAAATCTCTCAAATCTTACACAAATACCCACATCAACCCGAGGCATCCGCAAGAATTTATTATTACTTATTATTAAGTGATTGGGATGGTTGAATACAATCTCATATTCCATTATATGGGGTAAACAGATTGGGGTAGAATAGTGACTTAGTAGAGAACAGTTAAAATTTGAGCGGTGTGATACACTTGCGTGATTGCCCCCGTATGCTAAGCTGAGAACTGTATTGGAGCGGTTTTTCAGTTGCTTAAAGAGCCGAATTAGAGTAGTGAGAGAATACCCATAATAGCTAGGTCGTCACACTTTTGCATAATACAATCTGGTTAGATCTGATTAGTAGGCGGACACTTCGTAGCATTTTTTGTGCATAATTTCTGTCGTTACTTTTTTTTGTTGTTGTTACATCTGATGATCGCTATTGCGTGAAACTTTTAGTTATGTAATTGAAATATATCTTGATAATTATTAAGTTTTCACAAGAACAGCCTAAAAAGGCAAATTCTAAAATGCCGAAATCGTTATAATAAAAAAAAAAAACATAATAAAAGATCTGTAGTAATTGTAGAAATATCCATGATCAAGTTTTGCTTATTTATAGTACTTTATTTATATACAACTATATATATATATATATATATATATATATATATATATATATATATATATATATATATATATATATATATATATATATATATATATATATATATATATATATATATATATACATATATATATATATATATACTATATATATATATACTATATATATATACTATATATATATATATATATATATATATATATATATATATATATATATATATATATATATATATATATATATATAGTTGTATATAAATAAAGTACTATAAATAAGCAAAACTTGATCATGGATATTTCTACAATTACTACAGATCTTTTATTATGTTTTTTTTTTTATTATACCGATTTCGGCATTTTAGAATTTGCCTTTTTAGGCTGTTCTTTATTTAAATATGCAATGTTATGTATAACGTTAGGTTATGTTTATACCCGAGACAGAACTGCTTTATTTGAAACTGTTCAACAGTTTATCAATAATTTTTAACGGGTCACTTTGTTACAAAACATATAGGTATGACAAATCTGTGATTACTACTGCACAAAGAGTTGAAATGCTTGGTTTGAAACAGTATCTGACATTCAAGAAGAAAATTACTATAGATCAATCAAAATCTATCCAGAAAGTAATCAAAGATATAAATTATCATTTTTTATTTGTCCTGCAGTAAAAGAAAAGTCTAATGCTTTTTTTGTTTTGTTTGTTTGTTTCTTTTTTAGTTTTTTTTTTTAGGTGCCGCCTCCTTTGTCGCTAAATTTGCCCGGAGGTGGGGTTTAAACCACGTATCTTTTTTTTTTTTTTTTTAACATCTTCGCTTCCAACAAGGCTGCAAGCAACCATTAATTAGTGTTGGAAGTTACTGGAAGAGTAACTTTCAACACTAATTACGTGTTGCGTGTTGGAAGGACACTAACTACGTGTTGCCTCAGACACTAATCTTACGTGTCTGAGGCAAGTGCGCTACCACTGCGCCACGGCTGCTCATTTTTTAATTTTTTTTTTAAACTGCTTATTTAAAAGTAAACAACTTGAAACTTAACTTTTCATTTTTTAAAAGTTTGTTTATTGCTTTAAAACACAGAGATAAAGACCCAGGTGAATTTTTTAAATTAAAAAATCATACTTACCCACCCTCAATTTCAATACAAAGTTAAATTTGACATGGATCTATTAAAAAAATGCAATAATGTTAGATTTAGATCCATGTCATGCGTTATTCACGGAACATCAAGATTTAGATTCCCTTGTTATTGATGGTGCTGCTGTTGTCAATATGCTGCATCCAGGACCATTTAA